CTCCTCCGGCTTGGTGGGACGGTTGATGGGGGGGGTGCTGGCAGGTGTCCACGGGGACAGCTGGGGCTTGCGGGGCTGGCTGGCCCAGAAATGAGTTCAGCCGCTCAAAATAGGGGCAGGCATCGGGTCCTGCTCCCCTCCCCTCCGAGGCCCGCACGTACCCCAGCCGCAGCTCCTTCACCTTCGAGCGCACCTGTTTGCAGTTGCCGCTGGGGTGGCCTTGCTGGGCCAGGTTCCGTGCCAGACGGGTGTATAGCTCTGCATTCCAGTGGCAGGACTGTAGGTCATGGAGACCCTCCTCTTCCCACAAGTCCAGGAGGGTCTCCAGCTCCCTGGGAGTCCAGGATGGGGCCCTACGTTTCCGGCCCCTGGGGGCTTCCTCCCCTGCCCCGGGTGACGGTGGCTGATGACCACCTGGAGCTGCCATGCCTGCGCTGAGGTGGCTGGGCAGCACAGTTGCCACGTGGTAGAGCTGGGAAGGGTGGTCTCCGGGGGGCTCCTGCCATGTGTGGCCAGTAGCATGCGGGCTCTTTAAGCCCTCGGGTTACGCAGAAGTCCGCGGCTTCTACGGGGTCTCCCGCCGTCCAAACCGCTTTTTTCCGTTTCTTCTGCTTTTCTGGAAAAGCTGTCCACACTGGCCCTTTTCCAGAAAAGCTTTTCCGGAAAAAGGACTTTTGCCCGAGCGGGAGCAGCGTAGTGTTTCCGGAAAAACGGCTGATTTTGTACAGTACAGCGTTGATGCTTTTCCGGAAATTCAAGCGGCCAGTGTAGACAGCTCGCAGCTTATTCCGGAAAAGCGGCTAATTTTCCGGAATAAGTGGCCCAGTGTAGACACACCTCAGGTGTTTATCGTTTTCTCCTAAGTGTTAACTTGTTAAATCGGTGGCTGATTTTGCTCCTGCACATTTGTAACTTGAAATACCCATTCTCATTTGGTTAACCAATTAATATCAATTTATTTACTAAATGGGTCATTTATTGTCTTTCAGGTTCCTTGATTGTTTTACCTTTGTTTATATCTAGATTATATTGCTAATAAATCCTTTTCAAGATTGCTTTCTTTACCTTGGCAGATTTCCTCTAGCAGTATCAGAGGGGTAGCCGTGTTAGTCTGACTCTGCAAAAGCGGTGAGGAGTCCTGTGGCACCTAATAGACTAACTGAAGTGTAGGAGCATAAGCTTTCGTGGGCAAAGACCCACTTGCATCTGACGAAGTGGGTCTTTGCCCACAAAAGCTTATGCTCCTACACTTCAGTTAGTCTATAAGGTGCCACAGGACTCATCGCTGCTCCTCTAGCAGTGGCTCCCTAGTTAATATCCAAGAGAGCAGCCCTGAGACTGTTACACAGCATCTTCTTCCATCTCAGGGGTGTTTAAACTATAACCCAGAGCATAGTCCCCCCCCCCTTTGTTGTCTGTTTAATACATTACAGCCTCATTTCTCTGTTCACCCTATTTTAAGAGAACAAATAATAGCTCTGATCTATCATTTGAATCACAAGAGGAAAAAGGAGAGTTTTTAAGAATTTAATTATTAAACGGCCACATTTGTGTTTTGCTATAATACTACCACCTACATTTGATAATTTCCTCTTCCTGTAATCACTACTGAAATGTGTCGGTGCTGAGGGACTCATCCTGAAAGGTGCTGAGCATCCTTAATTCATCCAATTCATTCATACAGAGCAATGCAGAGGGAAGACTTTTGACCAAAAACAGCCTACTAATAAAACAAGTGTCACTCTGTGAAGACAAGCCCACAATTCCCAAGGTCTCATTTAAAAGGACCCCTCCCCCAAGATTTAAATGCAGGCAATTCAATTTACCTATCATATCTCCAAACACAGAAGGGTTGAGCTTACTCCTTTGATTTGGAGCTGTGGTTCTAGGAAGTCTAAGTATTTTCACATCTGATGCTTAAATTACTGTTAATAACTCTATCATCAAGTCATCAAATTAACCTACCAAGACAAAGTAATCAATAGCTACATAGGATTCTACAGACTCTTCAAAACAGAAGGTGGCTAGCATTATTCTTGGAGAGATCTTGTTTTGCTTCACATAATGCTGGAAAAGTCATTTTTGGTAAAGTAGTTCCCTTTTTCAGTGAGGCCCATTTAGCTGTTAGGGCTCCATATAGACTCAGGGTCCTATCCATGCAGAGCTTAGTGCATGATGAAGGCCTTAGCTTAGTGTGTTTTAAAATTGCCCTGATATACAATCAGCTAGAAGGCATGCTACTGGAAACTAAAGCATTGCAATAGAAGGTGTTATATAAAAGCACCAAGGATATGATCCACAATGTGGATCACTTAAGTGCATAAGTCCCTTTTTAAGCACCAGTGTGATTTATAAAACACCTGCTCAATTGCTATCTCTAGATGTCTAAACTTCTGCCACTGCCCAGTCCTCTCCCTCCCACACAAATTTAATAGGGAAGTTACAAAATGTATTTACTACAGGTTTTTCTTATCTGCTTACTGTTAGCCTTTCTGATGTTACTAAGTTAGAGTAACAATCTATAAAGTAATAAAGCTGAGGTAAAGTGGAGTTTAAAATGAATGATGTTTGGTATGGAGGACAAGATCAAAGGTGTAATGGGTCCCAGCTGTGTGTGCTGTTGTCTAACATACAGGTTGAACCTCTTTAGTCCAGAGTCTTTGTCCTGACAACATCAATGGTGCAGCATGATTTTAGTTAGCCAGATGTCCACTTAATCATGAGTTTGGCCAAGTTTCTCACGGTCCCATAAAGTTTGTTTGCAGCCACCAGACCTGACTCTGTGTTCTGTTTTGTTATTTAGCTCTAAATGCCCTCTAAGGGTACATCTACACAGTGGGGCTATTTCGGGATACTGAAAGTATCCCAAAATAGCTAGCCTTCGTTTTTTGAACGCACCCATTATCTCAATGCCTATTTCGTCATTCCACAAGGGTTAAAGGTCATCTCAAAATAATGTTATTTCAAAATTTGGCACGATGTTGACACACCAAATTTAAAATTTGCTAATTTGAAATTCCATTGAAATAAGATACGCACTTGTGCTATGCAAATTAAATATCATATACGCTGTGTCTAGACTGGCCAGTTTTTCCAGAAAATCAGCCGCTTTTCCGGAAAAACTTACCAGCTGTCTACACTGGCCGCTTGAATTTCCGCAAAAGCACTGACTTCCTACTGTAAGAAATCAGTGCTTCTTGCGGAAATACTATTCTGCTCCCGTTCAGGCAAAAGTCCCTTTTGCGCAAAGCTTTTGCACAAAAGGGCCAGTGTAGACAGCTGAGATTTGTTTTCCTCAAAAAAGCCCCGATCGCGAAAATGGCGATTGGGGCTTTTTTGCGGAAAAGTATGTCTGGATTGGCCACGGACGCTTTTCAGCAAAAAGTGCTTTTGCGGAAAAGCGTCCGTGCCAATCTAGACACACTGTTCCGAAAATGCTGTTAATGGAAAACTTTTCCGTTAAAAGCATTTCCGGAAAATCATGCCAATCTAGATGCAGCCATAGTGTGTAGATGCATGCTAAGAGCTCAGTAAGCAGTGGCAGTGTTGGTAATGCTACTACACAATATAGACTTCATGTGGTTTGAAAATTTGGGTCCCAAGAGTGCTGGACTGAAAAGGTTCAACCTGTACTGGTTATATAAGACTGAATTCTGTGCACACTACAGGCATTTGCCACACTGAATTTGTTGACTCACAAATCATGAAGAGGCCTGTCTCTTTTAAATTAATAGAGGTGACAGGCATATAGCCCCCATTTTTTCTATAACCCTTGCCCTACAACAAAAGCCCTGGGGGGGACCTTCATACATGGTGTGCAGCCCAATGGTATTTTTATTTTTTACATAGGTGTAAGACTGCCTGCTCTACTGACAACAATAAATTGTAAATCTTTTCAGCAAGTTAGAGATTGGACCCTGACTGTAAAACAAAAACTCCATTACATTATTTGTAATGAATCCAACCCTCAAAACCAAACTTTACTGCCAATACTCGGGTTTCTTTCTCACCAAACTTTAAACATAAAAATGACAAATAAATCTAGATTACATATGATCTAGCTGAGAAAACTGTTATTTTAAAACCAACCTCGGTACATATGCCATATTTCTGGTCACAAAAAACACATTACACAAGAACTATCATTTCAGCCCATTAAAGTCAGGCATTATGGTGATATGCATGCTATTAAAATCCCAGATTTATCCATAAATAAATACACCACCTGAATCTATTTTCTGTCTTAAATCAGTGATTTACTTGCTGGGGGAGGAGCATGAAAACGCTTTTACCTAATCTGTTGATTTCCTGGCTCTAAATGTTCCCCTGCTGTCTCTGTGCTTTACATTATCATGTGCTAACTATATCCTTAGAAAAAGCAATTTACCTGATCCGGTAGCTTTGAGAGCTAAGAGTCTGCTAAGTTTGCAAAGATTTCAATCTATGTGTAACTTAACTCATGAGGCCTGCTATCCATGCACCTAATTAAGTCTTTGCAGGATCTGGGTCTAATTGTTCCAGCTCCCTAAGCATTGTAGCAAGTGCTCTCCCCAAAAGGCACATCATGTTTGCAAGATTCTGAAGGTTTAACTGATGGTGCAGTTAGTTTGGAAAGAGGCGATTGGCCCCACAGTAGGGCTATATCTAGACTGGCATGATTTTCCGGAAATGCTTTTAACGGAAAAGTTTTCCGTTAAAAGCATTTTCGAAAAAGAGCGTCTAGATTGGCATGGACGCTTTTCCACAAAAGCACTTTTTGCGGAAAAGCATCTATGGCCAATCTAGACGCGCTTTTGTGCAAAAAAGCCCCGATTGCCATTTTCGCAATCTGGGCTTTTTTTGCGCAAAACAAATCTCAGATGTCTACACTGGCCCTTTTGCGCAAAACTTTTGTGCAAAGGGGACTTTTGCCCGAATGGAAGCAGCATAGTATTTCCGCAAAAAGCACTGATTTCTTACAGTAAGAAGTTAGTGCTTTTGCGGAAATTCAAGCGGCCAGTGTAGACAGCTGGCAAGTTTTTCCGGAAAAGTGGTTGATTTTCTGGAAAAGCGGCTGATTTTCTGGAAAAACTGGCCAGTCTAGACACAGCCTAGCAGACTGCAATACAGTAAGACAAAAAGGGGCCCAGTTTCTGCAAGCCCACCTGGCTGGGATGTTCTGGTTCCCACAAAGATAGATAGGGCTGGCTCTGGGGGCTGACATGAAGCAGCCCGCAAAAGCTCATGATACTATATAGAGCTACTCTCTAAGGTGCCCTAGGACTGCTCTTTGTTTTAAGTTACAGACTAACACAGCTATCCCTGTGGGTATCTTTTGATCTGAGGAAGTGGGTCTGGCCCACGAAAGCGCCTCACCTCATAAACCATCTTGTTAGTCTTTAAAGTGCTACCCAGTCTTGTCTTTTGTTACGGCTGTCCCTCTGCGACTCCCCCACCCCCTTAGCTCTGGTGGGCTAGGCTGGGTTTCCTCTCTGCAAAGCGAAGTAAAAATGAATCTCGCTAACCGAGGGTGACTTTTTTACTGCCGTGTAATTGCCCCCCCCCTGCCACTCGGATTTATGGCTTGATTGCTAACAGCCGCGGGCAGCCCAGGCTCTCCCGGTTGGCACCTCTTCGCTCGTGCAAAGCCGCCAGGCGGCCTGAGGCGATGCTCTTCCGCCCCGGCGCAGCAGCCAGGAGGCAGCAGCCCGCGCGGATCATCTGACGCCGAGTTCCCGGGGCCGAGGCAGCCAAGGGGCTCGCGCCGCTCGCTGCCCGCCCGGCGCAGCGCCTGCCCGGCTAGGGGGGTGGGAGCGGGGCAGCGTTTCCCGGGCAGTCGGAGGAGCGCAGCTGCCAACACCGCCCGCCGCCTCCTGCTTGTCCTACTCTGCCCCGGCTTCTTTAATGCGGGGGACTCGCCTCCCGTGAAGCGGGGTAGCCAACCCTGCCCCAAGCGGGAGGCAAAGCTGCTCCGAGAGCAGCCTTCCTCCTGCGGCTCCGTGTCTCTTCCCGGCACAACGTAGCAACTTTTTAACCCCCCCCCCCCGCCACCGTCCCCACTACCGGTTGCCTTTTATTTTTGCCGCCCCCGGCAATCTGCAATGCACAGGACTCTTCCTCCCCCCGGCCATGGGGCATGGCGAGCCACGGCTTCTGGCAGCGCTGGGGAGGACCGCCCGTGGAGCAAGGAAGAGTGAGCGCGGCAGAGAGCAGCGGGCAGGAGAAGGAAGCCCCCGGCCGAGCCGACCGTCCTTCCTGCAGCCCCATCCCGCTTCCCCCGGCACCTCCTTCCCAGGCAGCAGGAGTGCGGGGGAGCAGTGATGGCCTAGACATGAACCAGCGCTGCTGACTTTGTCCAGCAGCTTCTCCCTGGAGCGGCCACCCCACCCGGCCACCCTGTGGATTGGAAACCTGCAGCGATCGCGGAGGCCGAGCTGACCAACAAGGGCGAAAGAGGCTGTTGGAGCAGGGGGCAGGAGAGGGAGGCTGATTTCCCCCCACTGCCTTGCAAAATGCGGGGCTTTAACTTGAAAGCCTCTTCCTAGCCTTGCGCCTCTGTTTGCAACCGGGGTATTAATATTTGCAAGCTCTATAGGAACTTGGGGAGGCTCGCTCTGCTGGGGCGGTTAGGGGGTTGCCTGGTTGAGGGGGGTGGGCACGCAGGGACGCTGAAACTATGGCTCTGACCAGCGACTCTGCCAGTGTCCGGGGCAAGTCCAGCCGGGGCATTGGCGAGGAGAAAAGCCCAGCGGCAGGAGTAGGGTCCGAGTGCAATGGGTATTATTATGCGGAGGGGAAGCAGCAGCCTGGCGCTCAGCAGGGGCAAAAGGAAGACTCAACCTGCCAGCTCTGCTGGGGTGACCTGGTGCTGCAGAAAATCTGGAGCTCCTGGAAACTTTCCTCGGCTCTCTGCGCCGGATCCCTGTCCTTCTTGCTGGCTCTGGTGGTCAGGCTGGTCCGGGGGGAGATCGGCTGCGATCTGGAGGAGAAGGTGGCGGCGACGGAGGAAGAAGCAGCAAGAGGAGGAGAGTCGGGTGGCTTGCAGTTGCCCCACTTCCAGCTGATTCCTTGGCTGCATCCCATCGCTTTGCTCTTCAGCCTCATGTGTGCCTTCTTCTGGATGGGCTTGTACTTGCTGCGCTCCGGGGTCCGCCTGCACACAGCCGCCTTGCTGCTGGCCGCCTGCTGCTGGGGGGAAGCGATTGTCCAGATTGGGTTCGCAATAGGGGAGGATCACTTGCTCTCCTTCACCGCCACGGGGGTGGTGCTGAGCTGCTTGGCCACTGTGACATGGCTGGTGCTGCAGATGAGGCAGGGCGTCCTCATGATCGCCTTGACTAGCGCGGTCAGGACCACGTCCCTCGTCTCCTTAGAGAGGATCAAGGTCGCCTGGAGACCCTACCTGGCTTACTTGTTCGGGCTACTGGGCATACTCCTGGCCAGGTACGTGGATCAGCTCTTGCCCCATTGCGGGGTGGCGCCGCACCGAGAGATTTCTGGTGCCCAACTGGCCAAGGAAGAGGTCCCGGTGTTTAAGAGGAGGAGGAGGTCCAGCTCCATGATCTCTGCCGAGATGTCTAGCTGCAGCAGCAAGTCCCATCGGAGGACCTCCCTGCCCTGCATACCTAGGGAGCAGGTAAGGCGCGCTGAAAACCTTCACAATCGCAGGAGAGATCTTGGAGTCGGGGGGAAGGGGAAAGAAGGAAAACTAAGCTTGCGGGGTATTTTCACTAACTTTGGGTCGTGCGAGCAGACACTAGAAAACGTTTAGAACAAACACATGAAGCGTTGAAGTTGTCACAAACTTTTTTATTGGCTCCTTTGGCTGTATACCAGGGCGGCTGCATGCTTCCCACAAATCAGGAAAGTGGGATCTCTACCTGAAATTGAAGAGTTGGGGAGCCCCTATCCAATTCCAATTTTCTGCACCCGTATCTTTGTGCTTTAAATATCACTTTAATCTGATTTAGTAACACGTTTAGTTTTCAGCACTCTTGGTCGGCTTTATTTTATCTCCGCTCAGTAGAAGGGGGTTAGAAATCAGAGAGCCTTTATAGAGCAAGTCAAGGCTTGCTTCAAAGTTTCACTATATTAATGTAAAGTCTTGAGGTTTTTACCTGAAGATATTTTTCTAAACTTGGCCAAGAGTGTAGCTAGCTGTTGCTGGGCTGGCTCTAAATACTGCGGTGTATTTGTGTTATTTAAAGTCTAGGTTAGCCCAGGCTGGGGAAGCATTTAGCATCAATTACAAACAGTGATTTCTGAACTTTTTTTTTTTTGGTTTGTTGGAAGAGGGCATTAATTGTATTAAACTTTCACTGGTCCTTAAAGGGAGCTCATCTTTTTAAAATGAGCATATTTTTAGTACAGTTTGGGTCTAGGAGAAGCCGCTTGCCTAATGTATTGAGTGTGGCTTTTTTAAGAAGGGGCCTGCAGTAGATCAGTTGTCGTCTTAGCATTTGACTACTTGGCTGTTACTACACTTAAGTCATCAAGAAGTTTTATACCCTAGTTCTTCTGTCCATTGACACTATATATATTTTTTTATTTTGTAAAAACTGTCTGGTGTTTGAATTGAGGTGTGTTTTTTGTGTGCAAACGTTTTTTTCCTCCTTATGCTCTGGAAAGAGAAAAATACATGTAAGTACATGAACAAAATGAATATTGAATATCTTTATATTATAAACATAAAGGATTTCAGATTGACACCATTAACACTTACTTTTTGTACTTCAATTTGCGTTCCGAAGTTTTGAGACTTAACCTTAAACAGCAGAAGACTGTTTTTTCAATGGACTGAGTGTAACTGAGCATATTTGGAGTCAGTGTGACACTTGCCACTTATTTCCACCGAGGTTTCCCTTTTCACCACTGGGCAAATGGTGTTATATTTCCTTTTCCATTAGTATTAAAAATGACTTGGTGAACTGTGGCCAGCTAAAGCTTATTCTGTTATACTAAAGGCTTTCTTTCAGGTCCCTTGCTGGATAAGCAGTTAAGTATTTTCTAAGTAATGCCATCTAACCCTATGGTGTGGGTGGCTAGTTCAGGTCTGGAAATGGTTTGATTACATCTCTTTGTGGCTGTTTATGACACTTGCTAGAAGAGTACCTGATAGCCTATATACTTGAGGCATATTTTACAAGAAATGTGCTTATTTTATCTAAACACAAATGTTAAATAGCTACAATAAAATCCAACAGTGTGTGTGGGGGGGAAATTAGAAAATTGACTCAATTGTGACTTTTATTATGAATTATGTGAAAGCAATTAGGGTGTAAGAAACATTTGCAAATACAGTAACATAATAGAAAAAATGTTTACATTTTATTTCATGACAGACATTTCCAGTGGTTTCTTTCAGTAATCACATGTAATGTTTAGAATATTTTACCCCTTGATGCAGCACTTCAGACATGCTAGAAAGTTGTATTAAATTTAATCACTGATATGGTCTATTGATCTGTACTGTAGTTACTTTCTTTTGCTAATGAATAGATCACAAATCATCGTTATCATATGCAGTATTAAATCCTCTAGAGCAGTCAGATCAGTTTCTCTTTTATCTAATGTTTTCATTTAGGAGCACAGGTTTTATTAATTTTTTCCACAATATCCTGTGCAGTGGAGTCAAATGATAAATATATAGCTTACTATTTTTTAGGGATTTGCCACATTTTGGTTAGGGTATCATAATTTATTATTACTCAGTAGAGGGCTCATGGCTTGCTCATACCATTATTTAGTCAAAAATGGGTGACTATCTTCAAGTTTGTTTTTAGAACCAAATTGTCACGTTGACTGTGTTTCATTTCTCTCCATGCTCTCTTTTGCCACCCTTATAAACTAAGAGTAACAAACAAACAAAACCCCCACCTGTGGAGCTCTCAGTGACTGTCCCTTGTGGCTGACAGCAAAACAAAATTTGTTTTTATAAGAAAAATTGGCTCCTGCTAGCTTTACAGAAGCCATAGGTAAATGTTTCTCTTTGGGATGGCTTTTAAATATAACATGTTTAAAATAAAATACTTTTAAAACTGCTCAGAGAATCTAAAAACAGTACAAAACAAAACAAAGCCCAACCTAGAATAGAATGTTATAAGTCGAAAAGAGAGCTTCTTTGTTACCTGTATGTTGTTTTAGAGATGTGAAAGTTCACATCAGGAAATAGACCAACAATATTGTTTTAATGGACTGAAAAACCTGCTTGAATTGTGTGTGTAAAGCAAAACTCTTGTGACATTCTTATAGAGATTGACCGTTATCACTTACGTGAATGTTTTTGTTGCCGCTCAATCTTGTTAAGCTTTAATTTGACCGGAGTAACACTGTTTCAGTATTCCTTAGTGTGTATTAATTTGGGATCCTCCTACGGCTCTAAACAATGTGAATGGGGATGGTTTGCTTGTTGTTGCCGGTTTTTTTACCTCAAAGAGTGGTAGAAATGATGGAGTAAGTAAACTGACTTTTTGCCATTGAGATATAAATGCAGTACATTGATAATGCAATGCAAAATACATTGGAAATAAAGTGTGTGGGCTTGTTAGGTAAATTTTGAGTTACACTGGTGTTAGTCTAGTTATCAGTAAGTGCTTTTACATTAAGTCTCTGGTGTCAGTAGCTGAACGCTTTTTTTCCTCTGTGCCCCTAAATTATCTCTGGTGGAACATCTTATCTTTTTCCCAGCCCCAAAGTGAGTAAGCAATGAAAATATATTTAGCCTCCCTTTGTGGAATTGTTCATTTTATTTACTACTATTTTTTTTTAGTTGAACAGATACTTTTGGGAGATTGTAGTGGTCACACTTGGCATGTGTGTAGGCTTTGGAAAGAAGGGAGTGCTTCGGTGGTGGCCTGATGCTGAGAAATACCTGTGACAATTGGCAGCATAGTATTAAGGCATACTGACATGAGAGGCTGGGGTGATAGAATCACTGGCTGGTCTAGGGGATCCCCAAAAGATTATAGTAGTGAATACCTTTTAACTTTCATCCAAGGCAGATGAGGAGGTGTGGTTCCTTGAGGAACCACACATTCACTTTTTTTTAAAAGGGGGCGGAGAAAGAGGGGAACTGGTGAATAAGCGATACATTCATTCATTGTTTGTTTCCTTGTAAATGTGTTGATGGTCAGATCTTCTTTATACCTTGTCAAGCCATCTTTGCACTGGCTAAAGCTCATGACAGAAGAAGCCCAGTAGAGCTGGTAGCCTTTTTGCTGTGTCCTGATGTTTTCAGTTTGAAACCCTACATGGTGGAATGTAATATATTCCCGAGGTTATCATCTTGGAGTCTGCGCCTGCCAAGATGATGTGCTGTGCTGATTTGAATGTGCAATTGTATGTAAGCATCCAGAGGCACAATTTGGGCCGAAGGTGTTATGCAGTATAACAACACTTGCTAATGCCCAGGTGGGCCAAGTTGTATTCCGTGCATAGATTGCTTTGATGTGCATGTAATATGAATTTATTGCAAGTGAGTTTTGTTCGTTTGCTGTATTTATTATGTCACTTTCAGGTATGCACTGTAGCTATCAGAATCTGCACCAAAGACCATTTCACAAGGCTTGAAATATCTACTAGTTTGAAAAACAGACTTATTAACCAGTGGCTAATAGAGGTACAGAAGGGGACTGTCAAGATTGAAGGGTGTTGCCCTGATAAGAAACCTACAACCACTGTTGGGAAGTGGGAGAATAGGTTTCCTACCTGGTTCCAAGGTTCCTTTTTTGTCAGCTTCTGCCTAGTAGATGCCTGATCAGTCTGTGAAGTGTCTCTTCCAATCCCCCTTTCTATGGCTGCTGTAAAGGAGAAAAAGGATCTTTCTTTCTTTTTACTCCTCTTCTGCTAAGCAGTCTCCTGATTTGTTTTAGGGAGAAGAGAGGACTGTCGTCTGGGTGCTGGAATGGTGGGAGATGGTGTCTTGGCTAATATAACTCTCAGCTGTTAAGAGGAGGTTGAAGAGTTACCGTCACTACCACACCCTTCCCCATGACTATTTTATTTCATATCCTCACTTCCACAAGTAGTTTCAGTGCCTGCCTCTTAGCTTTCTTAGACAGAAGTAGAGTGCAGTTGAGAGAATTCTTGTGAGTTTCACCAGCGCCTTTTGGGTTTTGAGTAGTTCTGTGGAACTGACCTGAGTTTTTGCTACTTTTGCTCTGCGGCTTGGGAAAACGATGAGCAGTGTTGAGCATTGAGCTGGCTGCACACTCAAAACCCCATAGTACTGCATCAGTTCATGTTTGGAAAGTTACCTTTTCAGCTGTAAGAGCTAGAGTTACTGGTTTTATGTTATATCAAATCTTAGCTTTTACAGAAATTGACTTGTGCTTTTCATGTGTTGGAAGCAAGTAGATTTTTAAAGTTCTCTAGCATGCTACTTTTGAAACCAGACTAAACTTAATTTTAATCTGCAGCTGTCACTGTGGTATGGAAGCTTAAATTAGCAATATTCATACTGTCTCTCTCTGGCAATGGTCCGCAAACTTTTGGGGCTGCTGTGCACTGGAGGGGGGGTCCGCACGCTGGGGGGCGGGGCCGGGGCTGCCTTCGCGCCTGAGGCCAGCACCGTACATGTGCCATGCGTCCGGGGCCAGGGCCAGCCTAGATTGTTCCGTGGGCGCACTTAAATGCCCT